GTTTAGGTGTTAAATGTGTAAATACATGGGAATTGGGTGGTTTGCAATTCAGGTTGTTGACAATCATATTTCGAGCCGAGCTGGGGTCAGCTCGGAGTTGGCTTGAAAACAATTTGATTTAAAAATTTTTTTTGTAGCTTCGCTCATTTATTTTGATCCGATCTCAATCTGAGCATATGCTAAGGTTGCTAACGATCCAATTTCGAGCCGAGCTGGAGTTTAATATTTTTTTTAAATAGTGATGGTGATATTTTTTATATGAATTTGAAGATTTAAATATATATTAGTCACCACAGTTTTTTGAATAATAGTTTTTTCTTCAGCAGCTTCACAACTGCTTCCTCAAACAGCTGCATCTGCCCCATACAAACTCTTAATCATGTCTATTCGAATTAATTGATAAATAAATTTAAATATGTTTTTTACAACTTGAAGATTTAATGAGCCAAAATTTGAACATATTTGAATTCATTTGATAATTTCATGAATATACTTGATTATTTTCAACAAATAACATGTTAAATATTATATATTATTTAAATAAAATTTAATTAATTATATATTTGATAGTAACATATAACAACAACAACAACAACAAACCTTTATCCCACTAAGTGGGGTTGGCTACATGAATCCTTTTTCTCCATTGTGTTCTATTAAGTGTCATATTTTCATTTAACTATAATAAATTAAAATCATTATTTATACAATATGCCTAAAGTCTGTCTAGGCCTACCTCTGCTTTCTTACCATAAGTCGAATCTAAAACATATAGTGTTCTAATTGGATCATCAGATAGTCGACATTTAATATGACCAAACCATCTATGAGTACCCTCTCTAATTTTGTCCACCACTATGCATATACATTTATTGCAATCTCTTCCTATTTTTTATTTTAATAATTTGATTTTTAGTATTAATTTTTATTATTTGATTAAAAAAACCGACTTAAAACTCATATTATTTTATTTGCTATATCTAAACTAATTAGAAGCTCATTTTAAATTTATTCTATTACTTATTACCTTATATTTCTAAAATCATTTTTAATAGCTTTATATAACAAATCAAATATTCAGTTGAATTTTTAACTTATTTACTAAACTCATATAAAAATTAAACACAAATTTATTTTTTTAATTTTATATAAAAATTTAAATATTTATTTAATTTTTTTTTTTTGCTTATTTAAATATTTCATCACCTAGACATAATATTTTCGCACTC